TTTGACAGTCTATGAATGTTCTATGAGTGTTATGGAAGGCAATCTGTACCAGAAGTCTTTAAACAAAATTTGATCAAGACTTGCAATTTGACAGTGTAAATGTGTCCATTTTATGACAAATCTCAGTTCACAACTGACTATATTAAAATAAGGTAATTTCCAATTCAGTTTTTAATGACACTTACGTCTTTTTCAAGAAAACATCTTCCTTAGAACTTCAAATGTTTTCAGAAATATGAGAAGATTAAAGGGGAGCTAAATCTCCAACACTATTCTTTAAAACATCACAATGTCTTTTCCTGCAATATCTGAATATATATTCTGTGCAAAATTCTTTATAAATATCCAGTCCTTTATAACAGTGGTCACACAAAAAATATAAATAAAATATGTACACCTACATAAGTAACCCAAACAGTATTACATGTCTTCACACTAAAAATGAAAAAAAAAGATTAATATTTATGTGAGGTTTGAACTCAGGTCGGACCACAACCATTGGACCACAATGGCACTGTTATGCTAGTGCGTTTGGAAGAAAAAATAAGTATTGCACTGTTACCTCCCCCGACGGCCCGCACTCACATTACATTCGGGCCTGGGCACACTTACATCATCAATGCTGCGCTGTTCAGTAAGCGCTCTCACTCAGCACAGTGGAGATTTCTCTAGTTATAGCACTTTTGTCGTTTGATATGCAGTGACACGCAGTCAAATATTTCGCAGAACAGATCAGCCACCTTTGACATTCATAAACAATCATAAAGTCCTCATGCTGCTGGAATTAGGAGGTTTGCTGAAGGTGCAGCCAGGGCCGGAGCAAGCTGAACTGCCGCTCTAGGCAGAGGACGATCACGCCGCCCTCAACCCCAATGTGAAAACGAAAGTGATCGGTTATGAAAATGAAGTGAGGTGTCGCGGACCTCTATTCTGCCGCCCTATGCGCGGATATAACTGAGAACACGCGGGTGCTAAGGGAGGTAGGTGTCGCGGACACCGCGCTCTCTATTCTGCCTCCCTATGCGCAGATATAACCGAGGACGCGCGGGTGTCGCGGACCTCTATTCTGCCGCCCTATGCGCAGATATAACCGAGGACGCGCGGGTGTCGCAGACCTCTATTCTGACGCCCTATGAGCGGATATAACTGAGGACACGCGGGTGCTGATGGAGGTGTCGCTGACGGCGCTCTCTGTATTCTTGCGTCTATGCGCGAATATATCTGAGGACGTGGGTGGTGAGGGAGGTGCCGCGGACATAACTGAGGACGCGGGTGGTAAGGGAGGTGTCGCGGATGCCGCCCTCTCTATACTGCCGCCCTAGGCGGCCGCCTAGGTCGCCTCTATGGACGCGCCGGCCCTGGGTGCAGTTGTCGTGCAGTGAGGGGTTTGCGTCTTTAATAAACTAGGACAGTTTGCCTACATTGAACAGTGAGAATGACGAATTAATCCATATAAAACAGTCCCTTAGGGCGTACTCACACTATGTACACTTGCCTTGAACCGGCCAAAGCACGCTTGTCCCCCCTCCTGTCTCCCCCGACGGCCCGCACTCACATTACAATCGGGCCTGGGCACGCTTACGTCATAGTTGCTGCGCTGTTCAGTAAGCGCTCTCGCTTAGCACAGTGAAGATTTCTCCAGTTACTTCGCTTTAGTCGTTAGGGATGCGGGGACACACAGTCAAATATTTCGCCAAACAGATCTGCCACTTTTGACGCTCATAAACAATGATAAAGCCCTCGTGCTGCAGGAATTAGGAGGTTTGCTGAAGGTGCCCAGCTGTCGTGCAGTGAGGAGTTTGCGTCTTTAATAAACTACGGCAGTTTGCGTTCACTGAACAGTGAGAATGATTATTTAATCCATATGAAACAGGCCCTTAAAAGTCACGTCTCGCTTTCAGTTTCGGGCTTTGGCGCGTTTTGCACTCACACACAAGCGTACCGCGCCAAAGCCCAAGTGATCCGCGCTCAGGCCCACCTCCTCCAACCGTGCCAGGGTTGGCCAAGTGAACCGTGCCTAAGCCCGATTCAGAGCACTCACACTTCTCAAACGATCCGGGAAACGGGCCTGGCCACAGTTCGGATAGCATAGTGTGAGTAGGCCCTTAAAAGTCACGTCTTGCTTTCAGTTTCGGGCTCAGGCTCCTTGTGCACTCACACACACAAGCGTACCGCGCCAAAGCCCAAGTGAACCACGCTCAGGCCCACCTCTTCCAACCAGGCCAGGGCCAGCCAAGTGAACTGTGCCTGAGCCCGATTCAGCGCACACACTTCTCAAACGATCTGGGAACCGGGCCTGGGCATGGATCGGATAGCATAGTGTGAGTACGCCCTTAGAGCAACCGACTCCCATGTGTAGCGTCGCCTGGTGGGGTTACACGAGTTAGATGTGAATTTGATTATAACGGCAAACATGGGTAAAAATTGTTAATTACAACAATGGCACTCCAGACCAACAGTTGAGAGGCTTTAGTAAAGATTGGTAATTTACCAAAATGTTGTTTTGAAGAAAACTTAAGCTATTCTACGCACTCTGGGTCATCCATTACATTCTGAGTTTCCATTGAATTATCATGAATGAAACTAACAACTGTTTTAAGTTAATAATATAAGTTAATATAATAAGTAAATAAATAAATAAATAAATAGTTAATAATAATTACAATTAAATATAAAAATTGTAATGTGTAGCAGTTGTTTCATTAACACTTTTTAATACCAGTTTATTTATTATTGATTTTATTAATTACGTTTAATTAGGAAGTTGTCTGATTTAATGTATGTTTTATGATGGTAAAGTTGGCTAGCGTTAGACTTCCGCATGACTTTTGTCCCTGATGGCCTTCCATAGTGAGTGTGTGTGTGTGAGTGTTTAACTCTGAGCTTCCCTTGTCTCTCTCTCCGCCTGCAGTTTGCCTCCTCAGGGCTGTTCACTGTATGGCTCTTGTGGTTTCTGATCTAGTGGCCTTTCTCAGCCTCCATTCGTCCCCATCTCCCCTCTGGTCAATCCCTCCTGCCTTAGAGGTGAGGTGAGCGGAGCTAACCGTCCCCATCATGTCCATTCTCGGGGTCACCAGGTCATGGGGTCATTGTGATGTGCTTCATCACCAGTTCTTCAGTGCATGCTCACAATAATTCTGATGTAGTGGAGTGAATTGTTCGCCTGTAGGGTCAAGAACAATATTGTTTTGGATACTTTAATGGTATTTAGAAATATTTTGAAGTAGATTGATGTTTTTATTTACATTTTTGTTTAGGTTTTGGTCATTTTGCTTGGTGTTATTGACATTTTTTTTATATATATATTTATTTTAAGTATAAATATGTTTTATATTATTCAATTGATTTGACTTCAGTGTTAGTGATGTTAGCATTTTAGAATCACTGTTCAATTAAGTTTTAATAGTTAATACACATTACTACCTGACAAAAGTCTTGTCGCCTATCCACGTTTTAGGAACAACACATAATAACTTGACTTCTAGTTGATCATTTGGTATCAGAAGTGGATTATATGAAAGGTAAAGGCCTCTAGATTACGCTTATTTTACCACAATAAATTATGATCATGCCTTGATTTTTAATAATTTCATTAGGACAGTAAGGTCTGACTTTATTTAGACAAAAGTCTTGTCACTGAACAGAGATAATGTCCAGTATAGAATATAAAGTCATACTGCAGTGGAAACAGAATGAATATTATGTCTGACTCCATCATGAGCTTGGAGGACTGCATCCATACATCTCTGCAATGACTCAAATCAGTCATCTGCCATGCCAAAGGAAGCGTTCTTGCAGGACTCCCAGAGTTCATCAAGATTCTTTGGATTCATCTTCAAAGCCTCCTCCATCTTACCCCAGACATGCTCAATAATGTTCATGTCTGGTGACTGGGCTGGCCAATCCTTGAGCACCTTGACCTTCTTTGCTTTCAGGAGCTTTGATGTGGAGGCTGAAGTATGAGAATGAGCGCTATCCTGCTGAAGAATTTGCCCTCTCCTGTGGTTTGTAATGTAACGGGCAGCTCAAATGTCTTGATACCTTAGGCTGTTGATGTTGCCATCCACTCTGCAGATCTCTTGCACACCCCCATACTGAATGTAACCCCAAACCATGATTTTCTTCTTCACCAAACTTGACAGATTTCTGTCAGAATCTTGGCTCCATGTGGGTTCCAGTAGGTCTTCTGCTGTATTTGTGATGATTGTGCTGAAGTTCAACAGATGATTCTGAAAAACGACCTTCCACTTTACAAATGATCAACTAAAAGTCACGTTATTATTTGTTGCTCCTACAACTGGGATCGACGACAAGACTTTTCAGGTAGTGTAATAATTAAATTATTTTAATTATTTTACCAAATAGTGGTAAACAGAGCAAAAACAATTTCACAGTATTTACAATTATATTTTACTTCTGAGAATGTCCAATTTCATTTAATTTGGCTGGAATAAAAACATACAGTTAAGTCAGAATTATTAGCCACCATTACAATTTCCTTTCTTTTTTAAATATTTCCCAAATGATGTTTAACAGAGCAAGGAAATTTTCACAGTATGTCTGATAATATTTTTTCTTCTAGGAAAAGTCGTATTTGTTTTATTTTAGCTAGAATAAAAGCAGTTATTAATTTTTTAAAACACCATTTTAAGGGCAATATTATTAGCCATTTAAGCTATATTTTTTCGATAGTCTACAGAGCAAACCATCGTTATACAATAACTTGCCTAATTACCCTAACCTCCCTAGTAATCCTAGTTAAGCCCTTAAATGTCACTTTAGCTGTATTGAAGTGTCTTGAAAAATATCTAGGCTAAACTACACTTGAAAGTGTTTGGGCCTCTCATACGTACAGACAGACAGTTTTGTCTATTTACTAGGCAGGGATTTGAGTTGCATCTCAGAGCAGACATTATAAAGCAAGTGTTCATGTTTATCGTCTTCACTCACCGCTCAGTGTGTGAAAGTTAAGCGCTGAATGATGTGCGTTTCTCTCTCAGGATGACATGCACAGAGTAATCGATCAGCAGCTGATGGACAAACACCAGGAGGAGTGGAAGGATCCTCCGTTCTCCTTCAGCAGACGAGGAGCCGCTGCTTCCAGACCAACACAGCGCCTGGCAGATCGAGACAAGCCACTCTTTTCATTCTTCAAGAAGAACTGAGATCAGGAGGAGAGAGAGAGAGAAGAGGACAGCAAACCACAGGAAGACTCAATCTGCAGATCAGTGGTTCTCACCTGGGTTTGGACGACTAACTCTAATATGCATTCATTGGTTGCATTGGTGCACTCCAAAATATGCATTAGGATTTTTAATACTAACAGATAAAACTGTGAGATCCACATGGATGGAGAATTTATATGCAACTCAAATAACTCAAATAAGAATAACTACATTTATACATTTATAAACACAGGCAAGTCCAAAATTAATCATAGCCCTGGCAAATTTGGACTTGTTCATGTGAAAATGAAAGCTGAAATATATTTATATTCCACAATAATGCCACTTATTATTATCTTATTATTGTCTTACTATCTCTTGGGAGAAGCTTGTGTCATTTCTGGTCACAAAAAAACTTTAAGGAAACTTTAAGTCACAATTTGCCAGGGGTATGAATCATTTTGAGCTTGACTATATGCACACACACGTACACTTAGGCCCTGTTTACACTGCCATTTAAATGCGACCCAATTCTGATTCTTTGCTTATACGTAACACAGATCGGATCTGTTCTATGACCTTGCGAACGAGCAAAAAATTCATGCATTCGGATATTCAGAGATTGGTTTCAGTCCTCCTTCATATGTGGAAATCAATCAGATTTGTGATATGTGACAACGCGACTCATGTAAACAGGCAGAACGGATTTGTTGAGGCATTCTGTTTTGTACGTGCTTAAACTTGCGACAATGTGGTGCTTCTCCACGGTTTAATGACGTAGAAACAAAGAGCATGTGTGGAGAAGCTGACACGGTAAACAACAACAACAACGACAGAGGAAACACAGACTTGTGGTCAGTCGCCACAATTTGCTCCCACTAGACCTGAGATCTCTCTCGTATCCACAAATTCCTCTGAATGGTGGAGGACATCATATATAAACCGTAGGAGCAAGCTGCGATGACGGCCCTTTTCCTCCTCCTGCCCCTTAAAATAATTTTAAAGTTGGATGAACTGCGCATATTTCGCAGAGCTAAAAGCAAGACGATTTTTAGTAGCTTGTGTGGCGCAGATGCTAGAACCTGCTTTTACGCACGCGCGTTGTCATAAATTGTATAGCAAGTGTAAACACATGAATCAGATATGGGTCACAATTAAAACAACGTGTAAATGGACAAGCAAAACAATCTGATGTAGGCAACAAATCAGAATTGGGCATCAAGACCTGACAGTGTAAATGGGGTCATAGATACTGATGTGCATTCATTGGTAGTATAGATGCAATCAGATGTTTATGGCAACATTTAGTTAATTAATTTCATTAATGTAATATAAATATATTTGCATAATTGTTTGAAATGGGGAAAAAAATAACGCTAAATTTAGATTTAATTTTTATAAACAAAATAATATTTTCGTAAATGTAATTCTAATGAATATTTGCATTACTTGCACAAAATAAAGCAGATCTAAATGTACAAGTATTTTTTTACAAATATGAATAAAAATATATTTTGTTAAAATATAATTTTCAAATACTGTTTATTTATTTATTCAGTTTAATTAATTAATAAATACAAATGTATACATGTAGATATTTTGATTTATGAATTTGAACTGCATATAAATATACATACATATATATATACATACATATATATATAAATATATATATATATATATATATATATATAGTTGCATATATGTTGAATTTAACTTAACCAAAGAACATTTATTTTAGTTTTAAAGAAATTGAGTAATTTGAAACTGTTATAATTTTTGAGAATAGAAATCTGTTACATTATTGCTTAAATGTGATATGGAAATCAAATTTATAAATCTAAAACTGTTTAATAAAATCTAAATTTAGCCCTAAATATTTTAAGTGCATTTAAGTGCAACCAACAGAAACCGAAATGTCGAATAATGCATTAAAATTTCAATACCAAAAACGCAGTGTAAAATACTTTACAAAAAGTTTCCATTAGATAATGTATTTATTCATCTTTATTAATGTTAGTTTAAAAAAATAAAGTAATTCATTGTTAGTTCATGTTAACTCACGATTCATTAACTAATGAAAAACAAGCACGACTTTGGATTTTAATAATGCATTAGCAAACGTTGAACAATGATTAATTATTGCTGTACAGGCATTGTACATTATTAGTTCATGCCAGTAAATGCATTAACTACTGGAACCTTTATGTAAACCAAAAACACAAAGGCATTTATGGGGTTGAGAACCACTGCTCTACCAAGCCCAATCGTCTGACGGCTTTCAGCCATTCTGCACTTTATCCATACCTACAAACCTCAGTCGGAAACAGCACGAGGCTCTGTTCGACAGGTTTTCCAGAATTCTCCAGTGCGTTTGGCCTGCGAGTGCCTCAGAAAAGCTTCTCCTCAGCTCACTGCCAGAGGCTCATCACAGATCCAGAGACCAAACTCAGGATGAATATCACAGAACGGTCTTCAACATCAGCCTGTAGATTCAGGCCCGCACACAATCTGTGCTGATTTCAGGAGAGAACACGTGGAAGGATATGAGAAACCTATAGTATTATTGAAATGATGATGAGATGATGATGATGTCAAAAGTGTCATGGCTGCTGCATTTCGGCATTTTTTTTGCTGTAATTGTGCTGCACAATTTAGAGGGGGCACGTCCGGGATCTTTTTTTTCTAGCTTTAATGTTGCATCTTTTTTAGGGAGTACCAAATAGAAAGAAAGGGAAAAAGGAGTGACATTTAAAAAATATTTATATTTTTTAATTGAGTCATCAAATCTACGAACCATCACAAAATTTGGACCTCATCCGGGATGCTTTATTCTTCCTTTCTTACACCCTTGGTGGCGAGTAAAAAAAAGGAGAGTTTTTAAATATGATTTTATTTTTAAATTCACAGTCATGAAATATTATGCTACGAAGCAGCACAAAATTGGGGGCTCGTCCGGGATGCATAATTGCCCCTTTATTGTTACAACCCTGGTGGACATTAACAAAAAAATTAGATTTAGTTTTCACTGTTAACAAACATTAAAATACCAAGTTTAAAAAAAATGGGGGCTCATCCAGGATCGTCCTATATGATCGCACCCTTGGTGAGGAGTAACAAAAAAATAAGTTTTTCAAAAAGATTTTATTTTTATATTCAAATCAAAATCATCAAGTGATCAAATATTAGGCTACAAAGCATCACAAAATTGGGGGCTCGTCCGGGATCCTTAATTCTTACATTCTTGGTGGTAACAAAAAATTAAAAATGGAAGCAAGGGTGATGTTTCAAAAAGATTTTATTTTTATATTCAGTCTGCAAACCTTAGGTTACGAAGCATCACCAATATTAGGGGCTCATCCGGGATCAAAAGTTTTTCAAAAAGATTTTATTTTTAAATTCCCTTTCTTCAAATGTTAGGCTACGAAGCAGCACAAAATTGGGGGGCTCGTCCGGGATCATCCTTTGTTACATCTTTCATAAGGAGTAAAAAAGAAGGAAGGTTAAAGGCTTTTTAAAAAGATTTTATTTTTAGATTGCCAGTCTTCAAATATTAGGGTACGAAGCATCCCAAAATTGGGGGCTCGTCCGGGATCCTTAATTCTTCCTTTGTTACACCCTTGGGGTTGAGTAACAAAAAAAAAATTGAGAAGTGAAGTGGTTTAAAAAAGATTTTATATTTATATTTAGTCAGCAAACCTTAAGTTACGAAGCATCACAAAATGTGGCGTCTCATCTGGGATCATCCTTTATTACATCCTTGGTGAGGATTAACAAAAAGGGTTCCGTTTTTAAAAAAAGATTCTATTTTTAAATTCACTTTTAAATTATCAAACAGACTACGGAGTTTCATAAGTTGGGGGGCTCGTCCGGGATTCTCCTATAGGGTTACACCCTTGGTGAGGAGTAACAAAAAAGGAGAGTTTTTAAAAACTTTATTTTTATATTACGTCATCAAACATTAGGCTATGAAGCATCACAAAATTGGGGGCTCGTCTAGGATGCTTAATTCCTCCTTAATTGTTACACTCTTGGTGGTAAGAAAAAGGGAAGCAAGAGTGATGTTTCAAGAAGGTGTAATTTTATATTCAGTCACCGAACCTTAGGTTGCAAAGGATCACAAAAATCGGGGGCTTGTCCGGGATCACCCTTTATTGTTACATTCTAAAAATGGGTTCAGTTTTCTAAAAGTTTTTATTTTTAAATTCTCTATCACCAAACAACAGACTACAAAGTCTCATAATTTGGGGGGCTCTGGAATTGTCCTACATGATTCCACCTTTGGTGAGGAGTAGCAGAGTTTTTTTCAAAAGATTTTATTGTTAAATTCACAGTCTTCAAATATTAGGCTACGAAACTACACAAAATCGGGGGCTTGTCAGGGATGCGTAATTCTCATTTAATGTTACATCAGTGGTGATGAGTAACAAAAAAGCAAAAGCAAAAGGAATGTTTCAAAAAACCTTGTCCGGGGGCTTGTCCGGGATTGTCATATATTTTTACAACCTTGGTGAGGAGTAACAAAAAAGGAGTTTTTCAAAAATATTTATTTTTATATGAAGTAATCAAATATTAGACTACGCAGCATCACAAAATTGGGCTTGTTCAGGATCATCTTTTATTGTTACATTCTTGGTGAGAAGTAAAAAAAAAACAGAAAGGGGTTCAGTTTTTCTAAAATATTTTATTTTTAAATTCACTATCAACAAACATTGGCCTACAAAGTCTTATAATTAGGGGGGTGTATATTATTATCATATATTTTTACAACCTTGGTGGGAAGCCTTCCAAATAGTTTTTATTTTTAAATTCACAGTCATCAAATATTACGCTACGAGCGTCACAAAATTTGGGGGCTCATCCAGGACACTTAATTCTTTCTTTGTTAAATTCTTACATTAAAAAAAATACATTATTTTAAATTCATTATCATCAAACATTAGACTACTAAGTCTCATCATTAAGGGGGCTCGTCCGAGATTGTTATATAATGTTACAACCTTGGTGAGGAGTAACAAAAAAGTGTTTCAAAAATATTTATTTTTTTAAACTCATTATCAACAAACAGAAGCCTACAAAGTTTCCACGCTAGTATTTGTCTCTGAATAGAGATGTTGTAGTGACAAATCGACTGCTGTTATGAAAAGAAACCAGGATGTTGTTACAGACACAGGTAAAATAACTAGTTACTATGGTTAAAATAATTTTCTGCAAAACAAGTTATGCCACATAGAATGTACCTGCCTTAAATACTGTAAATTAACGTAAGAGTTCTGCATTAATCAATTCAGAGAAGCAGAGTGATTGTATTTTTTGTTATACAAATATATTTTGCAGAAAAATTCTATTTTTCAATCAAAGAAGGTTATATTTATCTATAGCAGATGGATAAAAAAAATTATCTGAGTGAGAAATTAGTTTATGAAAATACAAGGTATAATTTCAGAGAAGAAGACTATGTAGTTTCAACTAAATAATGCACTTGCTTAATGAACACATGAAAGAAATCTGTCAATATAGAGTATGTATGAAATATGGTGCCATTCATTTGAAACATTTTAAGTTTAAAGTTTTTAAATAAAACAAAAATTTTTAAGTAAATTTTAACTACATTTTAAACTGACCCCTCTCTTTTTTAAGTTACTCCTCACCAAGGATGTAGCCGGCAGCTAGCTCTTTGCAACTCTCACATGGTCGCCCACTGAAGCGAAGCAGGGCTGCGCCCGGTCAGTACCTGGATGGGAGACCAAATAGGAAAGCTAGGTTGCTGCCGGAAGTGTTGGTAGTGAGGCCAGCAGGGGGCACTCAACCTGCGGTCTGTGTGGATCCTAATGCCCCAGTATAGTGACTGGGACTCTATTATGCTCAGTAAGTGCTTTCTTTCGGAA